TGCACTGAAAGGAACAGTGGAACAGACACTCTTAGTGAAAAGGGTTCTATATAGAACAAAAAAGGGTTCTTTGACGTGGAACAATAGTGGTACATATTTTAAAGATTTTTTTTTTATTGTTGTTCAAGGGATCTTTAATACAGACAATGGTTCTATTTAGAACCATGAGTTCCATGACTTCTTTATAGAACCAGTTCATGCTTAAAAGGTTCTTTGCAGTGTTACATGGTTCTTCAGATTAATGGAGAATGTTGTTGTATATAGTATATATATGGAAAATGGTTTTATATAGCACCAAAAAGGTTCTGCTAACTGTTATTGTTATGATGTCAAGCGTGTATCCCTTTTTGGTGCTGTATAGAACCATACTTCGATCTGAAGAACCAATTACGTTTTAAATGACTGTATTTTCTCATTTGTAAAGCACTTTAAATAACAGCAGTGCATGAAATATGAAAGGTGCTATATAAATAAACTTGCCTTGTCTTGCCTATATAGAACCCCCTTCAAAAAGGTTCTATATGGAACCATATAAAACATATTCTCCATCAATCTGAAGAACTCTTTCATGATGCAAAGAAGCCTTTTAATCATGCAAAGGGTTCTTTGAGTGTTTATGGTTCTATATGGAACCATTTTCTTTACTAAAAAACCCTTGAAGAACCATCTTTTTCAGTGTGTAGTTATTCCTATGTATTTTGTTCTCTGTTCTTTGCTTTTGGTGGTTCTTTTCATTTCTTTAGTGCTCACCTTCTTTTGCTTTTCTTTTGTTTCTGGTTCTTTCTTTGGTACTTTCCCCATGGACGACAATAAAACCGCTGCACACATACATCCTGCCTTTTTATTTCCTTCAGCTTCCAACACATTATAACCGGCACCGTATTCAGAAAAAGGCAGGGAACCTTGTAGAGAACACACTACAACCCCTTTACTCACAGTTTGAGCAGCTGCCATCAGGCAGTCGATCAAAGAGCTTTTTATTTTTAGTGTTTGGATGCTTTACCCTAAGGCAGTTCTATATTCTACCCTTTTTACTGTATGGTTTTTATGTTTTGTATGTTTTTAATGTTAAAGACATACTTCAACATCTGTATGTCTGTCAAATGTGGAATGTGGTATTGAAATGTGTATTAAAACGAATGCATTTTAAGGCAGGTTTTTAGCGGAGGATCTGTAAGAGGGTTAAATATTCTGGATCTTGAAATAATACTTTTTTTTAAATCACTTTGAGCTGCACTATGATAGACTTTATTGTTTTCTTCATGCACATTAGTTGCTTAGTGACGGTACTCTTTTGGACAGACCTTGCTGCTAAAAAACCCATACAGAACTTTCAATGCATCATCAGCTCGACATTGGACTCTGTGAAAGATGGTGCAGCTTGTTGGAGAGGAAGAATTTTGGTGATGATATTTCTGGTTATATTTCCAAACTGAATGCAAGTCAAACACAGTATGGTTCATGTTGCTGTGTGTGTGTGTGTGTGTGTGTGTGTGTGTGTGTGTAGTGTAAGAATGCGGTGCACATTTTTGGCTGCTTTAAATGGGGTGTTCGTTTGTTTATTTGTTTTGTTTTGTTTGTAGTAAGTCTGTGATTAATTTAGTTTTGAGCATTCCCTGCTGGCTCAGGAGTTCACTGAACTGGCTGAAAGACTCTGCATTGCGGTGGCTGTGGGAGTTTGACTGGGCCGTGGGCTGGGACACTTTTCTCCATGATGGTGCAGTTTAACTAGGCCGTGAGCTGGTGTAATCTTCCCTGTAGTAGAGGAGGTTGACTGGGCCATGAGCTGGGACACTTTTCCCCACAGTAGTGGAGTTTGACTGGGCCATGGGCAGATATCTTAGGCCAAGGCCATTGCACACCAAATGTGACATGAAAAAAAACATGGAAATGTAAAACAATCGGATGATTTTTTCACATCAAAACTATGCACACCGGACGCAACACAAGGTTTTTTGGAATTTTTCACTCTGCAAAAATTGATAGAATATATATCAAACATACATATATTGGCAGAATAAATATTAACTATATAAAAAAGATCCTTTGCTCTTCCCGAAACAAGCAAACTATGACAGTGTGCAGGGTGCTTTCCATTTTGGAACAGAGAAGGAAAATGGACAGTTTCCCTATTCAGGAGTTGAAACTTTGCCAGTTCTTTAACATTTAACTCAGATATTTGTAGTCCAGTTTGAGCTGCTTTTGGAGATTGTGATCCTTTTACTGTTGCTGAAAAAGTTCTATTTGCTGGAATCCAGCTGCCCCATCATCTTGGTTGTCGTCATGCCAACAGCAGAAGACCGTGATTGGTCAATGAGTTTTCGTTGTTGGTAAAAGTTTGCAAGAATCGTACAGAGGGCGAATAAAATAATGTTTCATTTTTGTCATTCAAAAACTAGGTTGAGAGACCTGGTAGCAGTGGAGTTTGACTAAGCTGCGAGCTGAGGCACTTTTCCAACAGCAGAGGAGTTTGACGCGATTGCAAGCTGAGATGCCTTTCTCCACTGTGGAGTTTGACTAGGCCGTGAGCTGAGACACTTTTCACTGCTGCAGTGGAGTTTGACAAGGCCATGAGCTGGGACACTTTTCACTGCTGCAGTGGAGTTTGACAAGGCCATGAGCTGGGACACTTTTCACTGCTGCAGTGGAGTTTGACTAGGCCATGAGCTGGAACACTTTTCACTGCTGCAGTGGAGTTTGACTAGGCCGTGAGCTGGAACACTTTTCACTGCTGCAGTGGAGTTTGACTAGGCCGTGAGCTGAAACACTTTTCACAGCTGCAGTGGAGTTTGACTAGGCCGTGAGCTGGAACACTTTTCATGAGGGAGTTTGACTAGGCTGAGCTGACACTTTTCACAGCTGTAGTGGAGTTTGACTAGGCTGTGAGCTGGAACACTTTTCACAGCTGTAGTGGAGTTTGACTAGGCCATGAGCTGGGACACTTTTCACAGCTGCAGTGAAGTTTGACTAGGCCATGAGCTTTAACACTTTTCACTGCTGCAGTGAAGTTTGACTAGGCCATGAGCTTTAACACTTTTCACAGCTGCAGTGGAGTTTGACTAGGCCATGAGCTTTAACACTTTTCACAGCTGCAGTGGAGTTTGACTAGGCCATGAGCTGGGACACTTTTCACTGATGTAGTGAAGTTTGACTAGGCTGTGAGCTGGGACACTTTTCACAGCTGTAGTGGAGTTTGACTAGGCCATGAGCTTTAACACTTTTCACAGCTGTAGTGGAGTTTGACTAGGCCATGAGCTTTAACACTTTTCACAGCTGTAGTGGAGTTTGACTAGGCCATGAACTGGGACACTTTTCACTGATGTAATGGAGTTTGACTAGGCCATGAGCTGGGACACTTTTCACTGCTGTAGTGGAGTTTGACTAGGCCATGAGCTGGGACACTTTTCACTGCTGCAGTGAAGTTTGACTAGGCTGTGAGCTGGGACACTTTTCACTGATGTAGTGAAGTTTGACTTGGCCATGAGCTGGGACGCTTTTCACTGCTGTAGTGGAGTTTGACTAGGCCATGAGCTGGGACACTTTTCACTGCTGCAGTGAAGTTTGACTAGGCCATGAGCTGGGACACTTTTCACTGATGTAGTAGAGTTTGACTAGGCCGTGAGCTGGGACGCTTTTCACTGCTGTAGTGGAGTTTGACTAGGCCATGAGCTGGGACGCTTTTTTACTGCTGTAGTGGAGTTTGACTAGGCCGTGAGCTGCGACACTTTTTACTGCTGCAGTGAAGTTTGACTAGGCCATGAGCTGGAACACTTTTCACTGCTGCAGTGGAGTTTGACTAGGCCATGAGCTGGGACACTTTTCACTGCTGCAGTGGAGTTTGACTAGGCCGTGAGCTGGGACACTTTTCACTGCTGCAGTGGAGTTTGACTAGGCCATGAGCTGGGACACTTTTCACTGCTGCAGTGGAGTTTGACTAGGCCATGAGCTGGAACACTTTTCACTGCTGCAGTGGAGTTTGACTAGGCCGTGAGCTGGGACACTTTTCACTGCTGTAGTGGAGTTTTACTAGGCCATGAGCTGGGACACTTTTCACTGCTGCAGTGGAGTTTTACTAGGCCATGAGCTGGGACACTTTTCACTGCTGCAGTGAAGTTTGACTAGGCCATGAGCTGGGACACTTTTCACTGCTGTAGAGGAGTTTGACCAGGCCGTGAGCTGGGACACTTTTCACTGCTGTAGTGGAGTTTTACTAGGCCATGAGCTGGGACACTTTTCACTGCTGTAGTGGAGTTTGACTAGGCCATGACCTGGGACACAGCAGTAGTAGAGTTTATATAAATTAAATTAAATAATATAAGTTAAACTTATTATTTGTTGCTGCATGCATTCTCAGTTTGGCCAGGACAGAACATATATAAATGCTTATGTGGTTAAAATACAAAACAACAAAAGAATGAACAGTACTCTTTCAGGGTACAAACACTGTCCCTGAGGTGGGACCCTCAAAGGTGCATCTTCAGTACATTTACTTGAATATAATTGTACAAGCTTCCTGTACCAGTATGCTCCACTGACTTATACACTCTGTCCTGACTCCAGTCTTTTTTATTTCTATTTTAAAAGATTAAAAAGTTGTGAAAAGTTACAAATGTGCACTTCACAAATACATCTGTCTACATTCATTTATTAGTCAAAGTAGTTTATCTTTAGAACTCATTTCACATACATTTACATTGTTTGTATTTTGGTAAACAAAACTGTACATGTACAGTACCCTTTCTTCTGACAGTGTAGGGATTTTGAAGCAACGTAGAGAAAGAGTTAAAGTTGAAATGAGGCTCACTGCCACTAACCATAAACTTTGATACCATTAGTACTTTTTTGTGTGGTGTTTAGGGTTTAAACATTGGCGCTTACACAACAAGCCAAGTTCCATAGTTTAACAGTGTGAAAGATGTAAGGTTTTGTTACTGATATGTTGACTGTACCTGATATGTGTTATGACTGGGCAGTAACCCTTCTGAACCCTGTTCTCGCAGATGCCTTCGTTGGGGGAGTGATCGGCCTGCTCTTCGCTTATGTCTGCTACCGCCAGCACTACCCGCCTTTCCTCCACACAGACTGCCACTTGCCTTACGCCACCCTGGCACTGAGCGCCGCCCAGCAAGCGCCAATCACCCAGGAGCAGCCTCAGCCCACAGACAACGCCACCAGCCTGCCTCTGGAGGGCATGACCGAAGGGCCTGTATGACTAACAGAGACTCCCACCGCCACACAGCCCCTCCTCCAGCACCACCCACTTGGTACAACCCACACAGACTGACAAACTCTTCAACATTCCAGTGGGTTGTACCACCATTTTGATTTCTCTCTTTCACCTTGTCTTTGTTCTCTCTTTTATTTTTATTTGTGTGCGTTTGGTTGGTTTGGTCCTGAGTCCGTAGCCTCTTCTGGACTGTATTTAGACGCTGAGTGTACTCAGTGGTGGAGAATGTGGGCAGTATAAGGGAAACAGGGGGATTGGAGAGAGTGGTAGAAACAAGGCAAAGGCGGCCTGATTAAAACTGCATTCACAAGGACATTTTGGTGTCTGTCAAAAACGCACCTCTTGCCACTGACTTCAACAAGAGCAATGCGGCGATGCACCACATGTCAATGTATAAAAACTACCATCAAATTTGAAATTTTGGTGGAGTGTATTCTAACGTAACCATGCATCAGACAGTAAGAGACGTCTAGAACAGGGCTTCGGTCAGTCATGTCGATGCTGATGGAGAACAAACTGATCGCTACTCTCGGCTTATAGACGTATGAAAAAGTTTGAACACCCCCAGTCAACTAACATATTACAAGTTAACACATCCTCCACAGTGAATAACTCTGGAATTAAATTCTAAAATGTGCCATAATATTTGCACAGAATTTTTTTTTTCTGAAATATGTTAAATGCAGTGAATAATTGTGCATTAAAATCTGTAGAAGTGTGTTCTCTGTACAGGATGTGTTCACTTACATACATTAAAGTTTTGTGTTTACATTTGCAAACATAGAAAGAGGAGTCAGTATTTTTCCACTCAGCATTGACGGCTTCATACAGCTGAAAAACATCGCCGAACTAGTTTGTGTTTAATATGAGACCAAATATTCACTAATGGGTTTAAAATTCATCATATTTTGGACTTGGCCTGTTCTTTTTACCCAGGAGTGATATGACACTGGGGAAAAAGCCGATCTTAAGCCCACAGACACTTTCAATAAATCAGCAATGCATATCAATACATTCTTTTGACAGATGCCAAAATATCTTTATGGATGTTGACCAAGATCACAGTGTGAACTGGGAGGACTAACAAGCACAAAACAAGGAAAGTACAGTACAGTATATTTCACAGACATCCAGTTTGGGAATGTAAAGTCAAATTCATTATAATGTCAGTAGAAAAGGCATTTTGGGTCACACAAAGACATAAAAATAGATCCTTTCAGTCTAATCGGTCAGGAAAGTGTGCTTTATCTCACTTCCTACTCCAGTTTATTTACTTAAGACACTGGACAGGAAAGAGTGCTTTTCAAACGTCTGTCACAACATGCTAGTGTATCGTCACTGCGTGAATAAAATCTTGCGTTTCCAAAATTTTAACATAACAGAAGAAGGAAGAAAACATTCTTGTAATGGACGTTAATAGAATACGATTTTTGCACCATTTCTATTGGTCCATTCATCAAGAAATTTTAACACAATGTAAACCATCAAAAATGGAGACACAAGGTTTTTGAGTGACAGCGACGATATGTAAACCTGATGAACTTGGACTTCAGGGCAGAGTTGACAGTGTTGTTTGCTTCTCTTACTTTTCTGTCCTTTCTTTTCCTTTTAGGTGCACCTACTTGTCCAGGCTCCACCCACAAATGTGTTCTATGTTGGACAAGCTTTACACAATGTTGTGTTTAACCTAACAAGAAGCTGCAGCGCACAAAACAGTTTGTCTAAATTTAGGTTGTCTTGTTAAGTTTAAATGATATTTTGTATGTGTGTGCAGGGTCACGTTGTAAGGATAGAGCCAGTTTTGTTGCATAATCAAGCTAACAGATGCCCAAAGTACACTATTGGTAAAAAGTTTGGATACACCTGCTCATAGAAGGGTTTTCATTATTTCATTAGTTTCACTGTTCTACAAAATTCATACTAACAGTGAAGTCTGATGGAAATATATGGAATTAAACAGCAACCAAAAACGTCAAACAAACTCAAACAATCTTCTATTTTAGATTGTTTTAGAAATGACACCCCAACCCCCGGGCAGCACGGTGGCGCAGTGGGTAGCGCTGTTGCCTCACAGCAAGAATGGCCTGGGTTCGTTTCCCGGCCAGGCGGCCAGGGTCGTTTCTGTGTGGAGTTTGCCTGTTCTCCCCGTGTCTGCGTGGGTTTCCTCCGGGTACTCCGGTTTCCTCCCACAGTCCAAAGACATGCAGTCAGGCTGATTGAACATGCTGAATTGCCCCTAGGTGTGAGTGTGTATGTCTGTCTGTCTGCCCTGTGATGGACTGGCGACCTGTCCAGGGTGTATCCTGCCTTCCGCCCAATGACAGCTGGCATAGGCTCCAGCACCCCACCGCGACCCAGAAAGATAAGCGGTTTAGATGGTGTATGTATGTATGTATGTACCCCAACCCCCCCTTGGCCTTGATACAGTTCCATACTGTCTTAGCAGTTTCTGGGATCCTTTACCTTTTCCAACAGAACTGAGAAAGATACACCATTGCAGAGTCCTTGTTGTTGAGAAAACATTTTGTTGGGGGGGCAAAAAAGTAAAACTATTTTGAATATAAAACTCATTTACTTTATTTATTTCCATTTCATTTTTCATTCACTTCTAATTTGAGCAGATGCGCACAAACTTTGGCGTACAGCTGTATATATTCAGTCCTGTGTAAAAGTCTTAGGCACCTTAGCAAAATGATCAAATCTGAGAAATAAGTATGTTTTTGCCAGTAAAAAGCTAAATAACAAAGAATAAGTACAAGTAAACATAAATACAGTACAATTTAACACACATTTCTTGTTTTAATTTTTTTTAAAGAGCTTGTTTGAAGCTAAGGTTTGTTTCTCCTGGACGCTATCACAAGAATTTTTTCAATTCTGTCAGCAGCACTGATTTAACATAATGAAGTATTGATTAGATAAAGCAGGTTTTACTACAGGTAATACCGGGCTTCCTCAAGGAGAGGGCGGAAAATGATTCAACTAAAACACTGATACCCAAAAATCACAAATTAATACTGTTTATACTGTTAACTATTATTTATTTTATTCTAATGTTTGTGTTTTTCTAAGCAGTAAACGTGAACTGCAGTATGATCTCCTCAGGCGTCTAAGACTTTTGCACAGTAACTTTTTGTACAATTCTGTTTCGGAAATGATTTTCTTAGGCACAAATGGTTCTTCAACGATTGTTTAGTAAAGAAAATGGTTCTCTATAGAACCAAGAACAATCAAAGAACCCCTTGCATGATTACAGGGTTCCTTGCATCATGAAAGGGTACTTCAGATTGATGGAGAATGTGCTGTAAATAGTTCTATACAGCACCAGAAAGGGTTCTTCTATTGTAACAAGCTTGACATCGTAACAATAGAGGAACACTTTTTGGTGCTGTATAGAACGATTTTCAAAAAGGTTCTACATAGAACAATTTACAGCACATTTTCCATCAATCTGAAAAACACTTTCATGATGCAAAGAACGCTTTAATCATGCAAAGGGTTCTTTGAGTGTTCTCTGAGAACCATTTTCTTTACTAAAGAACCGTTGAAGAACCATCAGTTTTAAATATGTACCTAGGCATCAATTACAATATTTGTAGCTGTTTTAGAAACAGATTTATTTTGTATTTAAGCATAAACCTGTAAAAATAAATGTACAAACATTCTGTAAAGCTTTTACAACTCGCATAGCTAAGAAAAATGCCTTTGTGGGCGGAGCATGGATAGGTGGGTGGAGCATGGATAGGTCAGTTGACTTACTTTGTTTTTCCTCTTTTATGGCCCAGTCCCATTTCTTATTTTTACTCCTACCCCTCGTTTTCGAGTGTCCCCTTGCCTCTTGGAACTGAGTTACAGAGTAGTGGTTGAAATCTTCCCTCTGAAATGAGACCCTCAAATAAAAAGAGCATCACTTCATTAACAGCTACCAGCGCTGCTCTGTAGGCGACCCTGCCAGTCTGCAGTGACAGCAGAGGAGGGTAAAGTTCAGCTCCTCACTGCTGGGCTTTAGTTACATTTAGGGCATCATATGCCTTCAAAGAGGGGGGCAATTATTTATTATCGCCCACCACTAATTCTTCAGTGATATGAAGCTGAAGTCAGATATTCACCAGCTTCTTGTTTAAATTTTCCCGTTCCACCTTAAATGGTGCAGCAGTTACATTCTGGCACTTCAGGCGTCAGAACTGCTGGACTATTTAAGGTGGAATGAGAAAGTTAGCTAGCTAGCTACCGAGGCATTAGCATGCTATTAGCAATTTTTATGCTTGTTATGAAGAAAACGACCAAAATACACTGAAACAACATTAAACTACGATAATACAGTGATTATCATAGTTTATAATGGAGAAAATTCTCACATTTGTGGGTTTCTTTGGTCTCTTGTTCTCCATCTTGCCATTTTTTCTTTTTTCCTCATATCTCTCTGTTTGGAGTCTCTGAAAAACCTCGTTTGGAGGGTCATGTAGCCCCAACACTTCACCCTCCCCCTCTATCTCAACAAGAATTGGGACACCCTACCCCTAGACGTGAACACGCAAAACAGAGGGGTAGGGCTAAGTGGCAGGTGCGAGGGGTGAAATGGGATTGGGCCTCTCTCTCTCTCTCTCTCTCTCTCCCTGCTACAATCAGTCATCTCATTCCATCTCCCTCTGCTCTCTCTTTCCCTCACACTTTCACTCCTGGCCGCTGGATTTCCCGCTGTTTGACATTTTTCACACCTGGGCTGCTGAGAAATTTGAATGCAGATTACAGCTAAATGAGGGGTGATCAATAACGTGCAGGTGATGTGTGTGCTGGGGCGTGTGTGTGGAGGTGGAGCGGGGCGGAAAACCTCAACCTGAACCTGAATTAATTTTCATTATGAGAGGCGTGGGTGCCACCGCCGCCGAACACATTAGAGCAGAATCGAAAGGGAAGCATCCACGACAGACGATGCCCTTTTTCTTAGCCGCGAGTGCGTTGCCGGGCCTGTTTATGGCCGTGGCCTG